ACTCCAGTCTGGGCGACAGAGTGAGACTCCAACTCAAAAAAAAAAAAAAAAAATTAATTTTACTCTTTCATTGTGGTAAAATACACATAACATAAAATGTACCATCTATCATTTTTAAGTGTACAGCTCAGTGGCATTAAGTCCACTTTCATTGTTGTGCAACTATCACCCTCATCCATCCCAGAACTCCTTTCATCTTGCAAAATTGAAACTCTTTGCTCCTTAAACAATAACTCACCATGCTCTTTGCCCTCAGCCCCTGGCAAGAACCATTCTATATTCTGTCTGTATGAATTTGACTATATGAATCGTATGAATTTTCCTATAAGTAGAATCACACAATATTTGTCATTTTTTTTGTTTGTTTTTTGTTTTGTTTTGTTTTTTGAGTTGGAATCTCACTCTGTCGCTCAGACTGGAGTGCAGTGGCCGCTCCTGGCCACCACAGCCTCGACCTGCTGGGCTCAGGTGATCCTTCCGCCTCAGCCTTCCAAGTAGCTGCAACTACAGGCACGCGCTACCACACCCGGCTAATTATTTATTTATTTATTGTAGAGATGAGGTCTTGCCTTGCCCGGGCAGGTCTCGAAACCACGGGCTCAGGCAATCCACTCACCTCAGCCTCCCAAAGCGCGGGATTACAGGCTGAGCCACCAAGCCCAACTCTATTTATTTTGCAATGGTTTTTTTTCACTTACCCCAAGGGCCTCAAGTTTTACCCATATAGTATCATGTGTAACAATATCTCTTTTAAGTGTTATTTTAATCTCATTCTCCCAGTCTTTACGTCTAGAAGTTTCATTAGTAGTTTATTCAGCAAATATTTTTCAAACTGCAGATTACTTCCAAGACCACTTATAAAATCAAAGTAGTAGGTTGTGACCAGCATTAAGAAAGAGAGCAAGCCGGGCTCAGTGGCTCAGCCTGTAATCCCGCGCCTTTGGGAGGCTGAGATGAGTGAATTGCCTGAGCCAGCGGGTTTGAGACCCGCCTGGGCAGGCGAGACCTCATCTCTACCATAAATCAAAAAATGAGCCGGGCGTGGTAGCGCACACCTGTAGTTCCAACTACTCGGAAGACTGGGGTGGAACGATCACCGGAGCCCAGCAGGTCGAGGCTGTGGTGGCCGGGAGTGGCCACTGCACTCCAGTCTGGACGACATAGTGAGACTCCAACTCAAAAAAAAAAAAAAGAAAGAGAACAGAAAATATTGGAACATATCATGTTATTTCATAAAACTTTCATTTCAGTTGTGTTTATTAATATACTTATATGCATATCTATGAAGTGAGTCATAAGTAAAATGCATTTATTACTGTGGGTTGTGAAGGAAATAAGTCTATAAAACACTTCGACCTTCTCACGCTATTCTCTACGTCTCTTAACGTCTGTGTCCTGCCTTAATCTCTCATCCATATGCTCTATATTCTGGAAATGTCTTCAGACCTATCTGCCAATCACAGATTGCACCTTAGGCTGCTGATAGACCTGTTCCAGGAGTTTCTTATGTCATTTATTATTTTCTCAAGTCTGTAAGTTCTATTTTGTCTTTTTATATATCCAAGTGGTCCCCATTTTATAAGGTTATACCAGTTCCGAGAGTCCCTGTACCCCTGCACCCCCTTAGGGAACAGTGCTGGAGTGTTGGTCTCTTCTCTTGGCAAATTAGGCACTCAGCAGAAATAGCAACCGGGTTTCGAGATCAGAGTTTGTCCTTAACCTTCCTAATAGCTCTAGTGAACTTAGGAGTTGCTATCCAGACCCACAGTCCTACAGTCATTGCTGTTATGCAAACGCAGCTGTCGCTGGGCTTTCCGGGGGGGCCCTTGCTTCAGTGGATTGTCATCACAATCAAATGCAGGTGATCGTGTCATTAGTATTACTCAGGAGTTCGAGACCAACCCAGGCAACATAGCAAGACGTTGTCTCTACAAAAAAATAAAAATAAAAAACTTAGCTGGGCGTGATGGCCCACATCTGTAGTCTCAGCTGCTCAGCAGGCTGAGGAGGGAGGATAACCTAAGCTCAGGAGGTCAAGGCTGCAGTGAGCCATGATTATGCCACTGTACTCTAGTCTGGGTGACAGAGACCCTGACTCAAAAGAAAAAAAAAGCAAAAAACAAACAAAAAATTTGCAGTTATAAGAAATAAAAATGGAGCCGGGCTCGGTGGCTCAGCCTGTAATCCCATGCCTTTGGGAGGCTGAGGTGAGTGGATTGCCTGAGCCCGTGGGTTCGAGACCCGCCTGGGCAGCGAG